CTTCTTTTAAGCAATGTTCAGGATCGTTATTTTCATTTTTACATAGCATGAAATCTTCATTATATTCTTTACAAAAAGCACCAATAAAAAATGCTACTGATTTTAATGGAGCTGAGGTTGCTCCGACCTCGTCCACTTTAGGAATGTCATCTGGCGGTGGTGTTGGGTCAATGAAAGTTACGTTTGATAATACAGGATGCTCTGCGGCAGCCATAATTTGTTATATTATCATGAATTACGAAAGAGTAATAAATGAGCATCTTGTGTTACATAGTACGTATGCGATTTGTAGAATGCATGACACATAAAAGTAGCACTGAACTTTTTCAATGATTGAGTATCCTTAGCTTAACTTCGTTGCATGAATTTCTTTATTGAATCAATATGCAAAAATTAAGAACACGAAAACCAAAGAAAAGGGTTAATAAAATTTCTACCGTTCCAAAATACAATAAAGATAATAAATTAAAAACTGGTAACAAAAGAATCCGATGGTCAAGCAGAATCCAGCAAGTCTCAAATGACTCTGTAAATCCGCCATTTCTCCCGGATGATGTCATCAATATTATTTTTGAATATTTACCATTCAGTTCTAGATTTAACTGTTTGGTCAATAGGAGTTGGTGTCGCCTTATGATCCCTATTCTTTGGAGATCACCTTTTAAATGGATTTCCAAACGTGGTTTGAATGATAGCAAAACCAGATATATTTATCTAATTAGAACTTACCTGTCATGTCTAGATCCTGTCACTAAAGCCAATTTGCGACAAGCTGGTATCAAATTACCAAGAAATCCTAAACAACCTTTGTTTAGATATTACCAATACCTAAAGAAGTTTAATTTTAGAGATATTCAAACATGTATTAAAATATGGTATGATAACACACAAATTATTGATCCAGATTTGAAAGATTACTGGTCACGATTTAGAAATAAAGATATGAGGTCAACAGAAATTTTTTATATTGGTAATAAGATAATGTATTTGATGACGGAAATCACACGACTCTTATTCAATTCTACATGCTTGAAAGAATTTGCTTTTGGAGGAAATCCTAAATTCAAACTGTCTTTCGAAAGCTTTCCGGAATATAGACTTGTTGCAGAGAACGTGACTTCTTTATCATTGGACCCGATTTTCACAGAATTCTATGATAACTGGGAAGCACTTTTGAATCCTTTCACCAATATTAAAAAGTTACATGTACCATTTTATCATCTCGAAAAAACCAGATTTCGTGATGACATGAATATTTTTGTACGACATTTGTCACCGCGTGCTTTAATGGCTCTGACTTGGCTTGGACTCTCAAATTTTCGCCTATGCTTGGAATCTTTAGCAGTTCTATCCAATTGTCCAAATTTAGAAACATTGGTATTTTGGAATTGTACAAAAAAGACCAATGTACAAAATCAAATGTTACCAATTACA